AACTGGACCAGTTGTGGGTAGTAACTTTTATTTGAGCAACTCTTTAATTAAAAAAAAGTATAGAGCAGTTTCCCTGCACCACACTTTTTACTTTTACTTAAGTAATATCATCATGAATTTTTGATACTATTACTCAAGTAAAATCTTTTTCTACTCTATAAGTAACCACTAGAAAAGAAAAAAATAAAACAAACATATTTAAAGTTAAAGTTTAGCAGACAGATAGGTTTAGTCTAAGGTTTAATCTTTGTTGTTTTAATTTTACTTTTAACTCCTGAGGAGTTAAAGGTTAAGGTAGTACACAGTAAAACGTATCTCACTGGATGTAGCTTACCCTGCCTCATCATACATACTTGATATACTTTAAAGTGCGGATGATAAAATATAGACATTTTGTAGTATTTTCTGTAGATTAAAACACGAACATCGATGACCAATGTAATAATTCTAAAGGCTCCCTCATAAAATAGTTTAAATCAACAAACAGAGGACTATAATGCCACTCAGTGACTAAGGGAGAAAACTGTAGTGATGTATACGGTAGAATGACTGAGAGCTGGAACGCATGTTTTGTTATGGGCAGCGACTGAAGTTTTCATGGATTAGGTTAAATCTATGCCGCTTTTTGCTTTAACCCTCATAAGGATGATATGAGCTTATTTAAGTATCCTCCACAGCTGCTTTCAATTTGGATGAAGCAGGTCCGACAATCAGGAAGAATTGGAGCACTCCACGCTAGGGGTGAGTACTGGCATGGGTGTGGGGGATACGATACGTGCCACGATACTGTGGACACAATACGATAAAAAAAAAAAAAATTGCAATATCACCATATGTTGCGTTATTTTACCCAACTATCAAAATGAAACGTATTTATGAAAAAGAAGCAGGTGCTGTATATGTTCATCAGATTTTTTTGATTATCCGTGTTGTTTGGGGTTGAACTCAGTCCATGTCCTCTAGTTCCTATGCTCTACTTATCTGGAACAAACTTTCAGAAAACTGTAAAAGTGCGAAAAGCCTGAGTTCCTTTAAATCAAGACTAAAAACACATTTNGTTTATCAAAATATTTATTAAACTTTTTTGGCTAAAGCAGACAAAGCAACTGGACCAGTTGTGGGTAGTAACTTTTATTTGAGCAACTCTTTAATAAAAAAAAAGTATAGAGTAGTGTCCCTGCACCATACTTTTTACTTTTACTTAAGTAATATCATCATGTAGTTTTGATACCATTACTTAAGTAAAATCTTTGGCTACTCTATGAGTATCTACTAGAAAGAAAAAGTAAAACAAACATATTTACAGTTAAAGTTTAGCAGACAGATAGGTTTAGTCTTAGGTTTAATCTTTGTTGTTTTAATTTTACTTTTAACTCCTGAGACGTCAATGACATGCAGGTTAAGGTAGTACACAGTAAAAAGTATCTCACTGGATGTAGTTTACCCTGTTTCATCATACATACTTTATATACTTTAAAGTGCTGAAGATACAATATTGTTATTTTCTAGTATTTTTTGTAGATTAAAACACATCGATGACCAATGTATAACTTTAAGGGCTCCCTAAGAAAATAGTTTAAATCAACAAATCTGTTGACATTCAGAGGACTACAGTGCCACTCAGTAACTGAGGGAGAAAACTGTAGTGACGTATACGGTAGAACGACTGAGAGCTGGAACGCTGGTTTTCTTATGGGCAGTTTTCATGGATTAGGATACAGCTATGTCGCTTTTTGCTTTATCCCCCATAAGGATGATATGAGCTTATTTAAAGAGGAATTTCAATATTTTTACATTGGGTCCTTGATTTTACGTTATTACATCATGTTCTACTCACCCATATGAATTTTGTGTCATTTGTAGCTGTTCTGAAGATACTGCTGTACACCAGCATTCAGAACTTGTAGACGAATCACTGTCCCCCAGACATCCGTGGTTAAATTTTTTTATATTTCTATCTTTTAAAAACAAAGCGGCGCATGTATGACGACATCATGCATCATTTTTGTTTCTTAAAAAAAAAAACTTTATTTAACCATGTACATTGCACTACGCTCTACCCCTTCTATTCGTTCGGCTAGCTAATCTGAATCGTTCAATTCCATTTGGAGAGTGAGATCATCTGTGGTAGTAGCACTAGACTTCTTCCAGACATGCGAGTAAAACTAGCAGCAGCTGAGCGGACAGGATGAATGAACGGTAGCCGGCGGTGTTTTTAAAAAATAGAAATATAAAAAAAATAAAAATGGGGGGGATACGATACGTGTCACGATACTTTGGACACAATACGATTTTATCAAAAAATTGCAATATCACCATATATTGCGTTATTTTACCCAACTATCAAAATGAAACGTATTTATGAAAAAGAAGCAGGTGCTGTATATGTTCATCAGATTATTTTGATTATCCGTGTTGTTTGGGTTGAAGTCAGTCCACGTCCTCTAGTTCCTATGCTCCACTTATCTGGAACAAACTTTCAGAAAACTGTAAAAGTGCGAAAAGCCTGAGTTCCTTTAAATCAAGACTAAAAACACATTT